GATCTCTCAGGAGCCCCAGAGGACCCTCTCTCTGCAGCCCCCAGTGCACCCGCCCCCATCGCCCCCACATGGCGCGACGCCCAATACACCGATACGTTCGACGCCCCGGAAACAAAAATCGAGACCGAAGTGTTTCTTCGTTTGCGGACTATCTGGGGACTCTGACTTGGCCTCGGGGCCGTCAACAAGCAACTCGGCAGGAGAAACCAATCCAGGGGGAGTGATCGAGAGGTCGGAGGCCCGCGCCTCGAAACAATCGGAACGCCGGACGACTGGGAACGCAAGAGCGGCCCGGGGCAAAAGTGACAGTTGGCGCACGGTTTCTGCGTCGTTGCATGGGATGCGAAAGGAGCAAGCAGCCCACGCGCTCGTCCGCTTCTGACTCAAACCCCGGCGAACTGGTCCACACCCCGGTGAAATGGTCCTTTCCCTGGTGGCATCGTGGGACGGTCTAGTTTGTGGCGGTAATTGTGGCGAGTGTTTCAGAGAGGGCTAGTCCTAGAAAAGTCTGAAAACAAGCTCTCAAGCTCATCTGCAAACGCTCACTTCCCCGGATAAGCAACGGGAGAATGGGTAAACCGGCGCACGTAGAAATAATAAGCATCGTAGTAGTAGTAGTAGTAGTAGTAGTAGTAGTAGTAGTAGTAGTAGTAGTAGTAGTAGTAGTAGTAGTAGTAGTAGTAGTAGTAGTAGTAGTTGTAGTAGTAGTAGTAGTAGTAGTAGTAGTAGTAGTAGTAGTAGTAGTAGTAGTAGTAGTAGTAGTAGTAGTAGTAGTAGTAGTAGTAGTAGTAGTATTAGTAGTAGTAATAGTAGTAGTAGTAGTCGTAGTAGTAGTAGTAGTAGTAGTAGTAGTAGTTCTACGAATACGACTAACCGTAATAGCGATCGCAGTTGTAGTCGTAGTCGTAGTACCAGTCGTAGACCTAGTAGGAATAGTAGTAGTGAAAGTAGTAGTCGTAGTCGTAGTAGTCGTAGTAGTAGTAGTAGTAGTATTAGTTGTAGTAGGACTACTACTACTACTACTACTACTACTACTACTACTACTACTTACCAATAGTAGTAGTAGAGTAGTCAGTAGTAGTAAGTAGTAGTAGTAGTAGTAGTAGTATGCAGCAGTAGTAGTAGTAGTAGTAAGAGTAGTAGTAGTGGTAGTAGTAGTTAGTTAGTAATAGTGGTAGTAGTCGTCGTCGTAGTAGTAGAGCAGTAGTAATAGAGTCCAGTAGTGAGTAGTAGTAGTAGTTAGTAGTAGTAGGCGTAGTAGTAGTAGTAGTAGTAGTGTAGTAGTGGGACTGTACAAGTAATAGTGTTGCAATAATAGTAGTAGCAGTAGTAGTAGTAGTCGTAGTAGTAGCAGTAGTAGTAGTAGTAGTAGTGGTGGTGGTGGTGGTGGTGGTGGTAGTAGTAGTAGTAGTAGGTCGTAGTAGTAGTAGTAGTAGTAGTAGTAGTAGTAGTAGTAGTAGTAGTAGTAGTAGTAGTCGTCGTAGTCGTAGTCGTAGTCGTAGTAGTAGTAGTAGTAGTAGTAGTAGTACTAGTAGTAGTACTGGTAGTAATAGTAATGGTAGTAGTAGTACCGGTACGAATCACAACAGCTGTAGTAATGGTAGTAGTGGCATTCGTTGTAGCAGTCGTAGTACTAGTAGTCGTTGTACGAGTAGTAATAAAAACTAATCGTAGTAGTTGTAATGGTAGTAGTAATAGTGGTGGCATAGTAGTAGTACTAGTCGTAGTGGTAGTAGTAGTAGTAATAGTAGTAGTAGTAGTCGTAGTAGTAGTAGTAGTAGTAGTCGTAGTAGTAATAGTAGTAGTAGTAGTGATAGTAGCAGTAAAAGTAGCAAGAGTAGTAGGACTAGTACTAGTAGTAGTAGTCGTAGTAGTAGTAGTAGTTGTAGTAGTAGTAGAGTAGTAGTAGTAGTAGTAGTAGTAGTAGTAGTAGTAGTAGTAGTAGTAGTAGTAGTAATAGTAATAGTAGTAGTAGTAGTAGTAATAGTAGTAGTAGTAGTAGTAGTAGTACTAGTACTAGTACTAGTACTAGTACTAGTAGTAGTAGTAGTAGTAGTAGTAGTAGTAGTAGTGGTAGTGGTTGGAGTAATAATAGTCGTGGTAGTAGTGGCCACGGAAATAGTAGCTATAATGGTAGTAATAGCAGTCGTCGCAGTAGTAGTAACCACTGAAGTAAAAATATTACTACAGGCACATGAACGACATGAAACGTGCATGCAACGAATCTGAAACGCATGTGAAACAGAAACGAACCGAACACGATACGCAAAGGAAACGCATGCGCAATTACTCCGACGATTGGCCCCCGCACGAGAATCCGCTCGGCTACTCTGGAAATGCTTCTCTTCGTCGTCTTCGTGATTGATGGGGCGTCCTTACTGTTTCCTCTGCATCATTGTTCGTCTCGCCCTGGCACAGGCCCTCCTCGCCGTCCTGTTTTTTTCACCCCTGCCACCTCCTCCCCCCTCTATTGCAAGAGCGCGCGCTTCGATTTTCCTCGGCGCCGTCGCCGCCTCGACCAGCACGGGCGCATTCTCGAACGGCCACATCGCGCAACCTTTGGGGCAATCCCGCGGGCCAGGCCGTTGGGACAACCCCGCGAGTTGCTGGGGCGCGGGAACAAGCCGCTGGGACAACCCAGCACGCACCGAGCTAGTCGCGGCCGCGCTCAAGCGGCAGGCAACACGAAGCACTGCTGTGCCGCGAATTGCTCCGCCTCCCTGGAGCTCTCCGCTTTCTTGCCGAACTCCCCGAGCACCTTCTCCTTGACCCTCCCCTCACCGACCCGTCCCGCCCCAGGGAGCTCCCCCGGTCGAGAAGCCCTCGACCTGACTTCCTCCATATTCATGCCAGAAGACCCGGTCGTTTCCAAGTTGCAGGTTTGCCAGCGGCCCGCTCGGATTCCAACATGGACATGGGGTTCCCTTAGAGAGGGGGCTCCCGCCTGAGACTTGATCGCAATTCACTGACAGATGAGGCTCCCGCCTGAGACTTCTGCAAGTGTCAGGCCTGAGGAGCCCGAAAATGATGAAAGGTTACACTTTTCCGATGACCCGCTCGGATTCGAGCATGAAGTGCGGGACCCATAAGGAGGGGGGCCCCGCCAGAGACTTCCTTGCAATTCACTCACAGACGAGGCTCCCGCCTGAGACTTCCTCAAGAGTCAGGCCTGAGAAGCTCGACCATGACGAGAGTTCCATGTTTCCAGTGACCAGTGCGGATTCGAACATGACGTGCTGGACCCATAAGTAGGGATTCGAACTCTATACACTAACGCTTTTACTAGCCCTTCGCTTAGACTCTCACAAGAAAGCGGATCCTGGTGTATACGGATCCTGGTGTATACATGTGTCTATGTTTCCCCACCGGAGATGGGAAAAAGTGTACACCACACCACCCCGACGTCGTCCCCGACCCTCAAAAAGTTCTGGGATTGAAAAACAGCCCGCCACTGGTAATGTATATGTTCCAGCTTCCAAATAAGGAGGGGGTCCCGTCTGAGACTTTCTGGCAATTCACTCACAGACGTGGCTCCCGCCTGAGACTTCCTCAAGAGTCAGGCCTGAGAAGCTCGAAAAGGACGACAATTACAAGTTTCCGATGACCCGCTCAGATTCGAACATGAAGTGCGGGACCCATCGGGAAGGAGTTCCCACCTGAGCTTTCCTCAAGATTCAAACCTGAGAAGCTTGAAAGTGACGACAGTTAAAGGTTTCCGATGACCCGCTCGGATTCGAACATGAAGTGCGAGACCCATAGGAGGGGGTTCCCGCCCGAGACATCCTCGCAATTCACTCACAGACGAAGCTCCCCCCTGAGACCTTCTCAACAGTCAGGCCTGAGGAGCCCGAAAGTGACGATACTTACAGGTTTCCGATGACCCGCTCGGATTCGAACATGAGGTGCTGGACGCACAGGGAGGGGGTTCCCGCCTGAGACTTCATCGCAATTCACTCACAGACGAGGCTCCATGTTGGCCGATGATCACAATGGGATGCTGATAGTGATGAATGTGTAATGATAATAATGGTGATGGTAAGTTGGTAATAGTGACGCTGATGAGGAGGTGTGCGAATATGCTGATGATGATGATGATGATGGCGATGATGAACGAGTGTGTGTATGTGAGTGTACCGATGCTTATGAATGAGCGTGTTTGTGTGCTCATGATAATGATGGTGGTAAGAGGAGAGGGGGCGAGGAGGACTGCGCGGGGTGTCCAGAGAAAACAATTACCCCACTTAGGATGTGGGGAAAAAACGAACGAGCTGGAACGACGTTTTAAACAAGTGTATGGAAGTATGTACGGAACGAGCTGAACATGATAATTGCGTGTGACTTATGTGAACAAAAGCAACGTATGTATGAAACGTACGGAATCCGAACATTCCTGTTGGGATTTCCGCACCGAGATTGCCTGCATAGCTTCCCAGAGGCTCACAACAGGCCCCTAGAGGATCCGAAGAGGCCCGCAGGAGGGCCGAAGAGGCCCCGACGGGTCCTGCAAGAGGACCCCGAGGGGCATCCCAACAGATCCTGGTATCCACTCAAAACGCCTCAGCACCAACAGCTCGGGCACGGTGGCGGAGTGGGCCGAAGGCCATTCGATAGTTGTGGCCCTCGCAAGATCCTCCACCCTCTTCCTCATCCTTCTTGTTAGTAGTATGAGTATCATTCGTAGTGTTAGTAGCATTTGTATTCGTATTAGCAGTATTGGTGTTGTGTCTTCTCTTATTCATGGTGTTTTTCTTCTTCTTCGTCTAGGTATTACTTTTATCATTCGTATTACGACTACTATTATTAACATCATTATTCGCATTCACAGCGTTACTAGTATTCCTCTTGATCCTTGTGTTCCTCCTCCTCCTCCTGCTCATCCTCCTGCTCCTCCTCCTCCTCCTCCTCCTGCTCATCCTCCTGCTCCTCCTGCTCCTCCTCCTCCTCCTCCTCCTCCTCCTGCCGTCAGGCCGAGGCAATTTTCAAATGCCTCGCCACCGCGGATAAGCGGTGCAGCCTGGGCTCCGTGTGGCACCGCCTGAATGCGGTGTGGGTCCGATGATGTCACGCTCCTTATCCCGCCCGCTCGCGGGTGCGATAAGGAACGGGCGGAGGGCGGCACTTCCCTCTGGGAGGTTCGTGGTCGTTCGTTGTCGTCCTTCGTGTCTCGTTTCGTCGTCGTGTCCGTCGCCCCTTTCCTCTTTGGGAGTTGCGGCACGGCCCTGGATTAAATTCCGGGGTGGACGTTGTTTGCGCTCCTGGGCCGGAGAGTGGCCCCTCCCCCCCTCCCCGCCCTGCTGCCGCCGCTGTCGCCGTTGCAGCTGTCAGGCCAGGGCTTTTAGTGCCCTGCCACCTCGGCCAAGAGGTGCGGCCTGGGCGCGGGGAGACCCCAGTGGCACCTCCTGGTCTGAGGTGAACCGCCGTTGACGATCACGGAGGCGGGGCCCGCGGCTTCCCGCCTGTAACCTCTTGGTTGCAGTGCTCTTTGCCGCGGGCACACTGTTGCCGTGCTTGTGAGGGTGCGGGCGCTGGGCAACGCTCCGTGTATTGTCCCTTGGGCGCCGCCGATCCCGAACCCCCATGCGCCATTTTGGCGCGGGGTGTAGGGCGGTCCTTGGTTTGCTTTCTTTTTCTCGATTTCTTCCCTAAGGCACAGCGTTTCTGGCGCTATTGGGAGTTAGTCAAGGAAAGGAGGCCGGAGGTCAGGTCCCAGCTTGTGTCCGTGATTCCCTCTTTTTGCGCGTGTGCCCTTGGTTTTGGCCGTTGGCCACTTTGGCCGTTGGCCAGGGCACGTTGGCCCGCGCTTTGCTGAGCGCCACGGTTTTGTTCTGCCTTTTGGGTCCTCCTCCTCCTGCTCATCCTCCCTCCTCCCCCCCCCTCCTCCTCCTCCTCCTCCTCCTGCTCCTCCTTCTCCGCCTCCTCCCTCAGAAGAGGCTGGGCCTGATGCTTCTCGTCGTCGGAGTCCATTCGGAAGACTGGCGGCCCACCGGCCTCGTCCGCCACAGTGCCGTCCTCGCCCCGCGCGCGGGAGGGAGGGGAGCGTGGAGCAGGCGGGAGGGGAGGGAAGCGATAGAGATGCTGCCCCTGGACGGGAAAGAGTGAGGGAGAGAGGAGGCGAGAGGGAGAGAGAGGACATACACACACACACAGGCTCGGGATGCAGAACCGGTCCTGGGGTTGTGGTTAGAGGTCGGGGGCCCGTGTCTCGCAAAACTCGGGACGGGTGGCCCTGGGCAAGAGTGACACTTGGCGCGCGGTGTGTCAGCCGTTGCATGCGATGCGACAGGAGCAGCCTGCGCGCTCGGGCTAGGCCCCCCCCCCAGAAAGCCGCGCACCAAAGGTCAGGAGGAGGAGGAGACGGAGGAGGAGGAGGAGGAGGAGGGGGAGGAGGAGGAGGAGGAGGAGGAGGAGAGGAGGAGGAGGAGGAGGAGGAGGAGGAGGAGGGGGAGGGGAGGGGGAGGGGAGGGGAGGAGGAGGAGAGGAAGGAGGAGGAGGAGGAGGAGGAGGAGGAGGAGGAGGAGGAGGAGGAGGAGGAGGAGAGGAGGAGGAGGAAGAGGAGGAGGAGGAGGAAGGAGGAGGAGGAGGAGGAGGAGGAGGAGGAGGAGGAGGGGGAGGGGGAGGGGGGAGGGGGAGGGGGAGGAGGAGGAGGAGGGAGAGGAGGAGGAGGAGGAGGAGGAGGAGGAGAGGGGAGGGGGAAAGGGGAAGGAGGAGGAGGAGGAGGAGGAGGAGGAGGAGGAGGAGGAAGGGAGGAGGAGGAGGCGAAGGAGGAGGCGACGGAGGGGGCGAAGGAGGAGGAGGAGAAGGAGGAGGAGGAGGAGGAGGAGGAGGAGGAGGTATACGGCGGGACCCAGGACAGAAGCGCACCCTTCGAAAACATCAGACCCTCCGCGGGCCAAACCGAAGAGCATTCGAGGGTACCCTCCCAAAGGACGCACAATGACGTCGCTCCACGAGCACGAAGGACACTCAGGGTATCCTCCCCGAGCCGACCTCGACCTCACACCTCTGCCCGACCGTGGGCTCGTCCGAGGGACGATGCTGATGTGATGGCGCGGCAACTTCTCATCCTCCGCATGCCTGAGCTGCGACCGCGCGGCCCGGTCGTCGGCCGCTGCACCAGCGCCCCCGATCTGGCTCGTGCCGCCTCGCACATCAAAAAGAGAGGCATCCAAGAGATGGCCTGGTGGAGGACTTTGCTCCGACGAGGGGGGGGGGGGGCACCGCCGCGGTCAGCGCAGGCAACTTTGTGCAGGACGCACGCGCACGAAACATGCGCGCGGCTCCCCAAAACTCGGCGGCGAGCGAGGGGAAGTGAGGAGAAGGCCTGCCCAGGAGGCGGCGGGGCTTCTCAGAAGCCCTCCGGCCCTCTGAGAAGGGTTCTTCCTGTGTTTTCGAGGAAGGCTCAAGTAACCCCTCGGAAAACAGGGGAACTTCCGAGCCTTCTGAGAAGGCCCGCCTCTCGGAAGCCTGGTGGCTTTGGGGTCATAACTCGGCTCTCCTGTGGCCGTTCGGGACGCTCCGGGCACCCCTGGAACGCCCTCGGCGAGGCGCGGCCGCCGAAACGCACCCCGAGGCCGGAAAAAACCACCGAGAAGCCACGAAAACGCCCGAGAACCTCGAACCTCGAACCTGGATCTCCGCCTCCCTGCGCTGGCCGCCGAGCTCTTCTCACTTCCCCAGACGTCCGAACCCCGAACCCCAGACGTCCGTCTCTTCTCACTTCCCGCCGCCGAGCCGCCTCCCTCCGAACCCCAGACGTCCGTCTCTTCTCACTTCCCCCCCGCCCTGAGCTGGCCGCCGACAGACAGTGATTGCACCTTCGGGCCTCGCAGCCGCGTCGCCCGAGAGCTGGCTGGCACTCCTGGGTCGGGCGGCGGCCGCCCGCTGCCGCCTCGTCGTCGCCGCGCGCTCTGGCCGGCGGCTCCGGGCTTCGCGCTTGGCTCTCCACGGGGCACGGCTCTGTCCGCGCTTTCGCGCCGCCCCCCCCCCGCCCCCAGAGCAGGAGAGACTCGCGCCTCGCTCTGAAGTCGCCCAGACCGCGAACCTCGTGAACCTGCGAGCCCGAGGAGGAGGAGGAGGAGGAGGAGGAGGAGGAGGAGGAAGAGGAGGAGGAGGAGGAGGAGGAGGAGGTCCGTAGCCATTTTGGCTCAAGTCCGTAGCCATTGGCTCAGGACTTGACCTTAGTGGCGTGGGGGAGGTACGGCCCCCGCCCGCTTCCTTGGCGCGCGCCAGGTACCCCCCTTTCTTTCCCTTCTACACTCAGGTCACAACGTCTCCTGTTGCGCTGCTCCCCTGGCCCCCGTGGCCCGAGCGGGCTCAGGCATGGCTGGAGGGGCTGGTGGCCATCAAGAACGGGTGCGGCAGGATTGGTATTGCAAGGGTTGCCTATATTCCTGGGGCCCGAACAAGCGACAACGGTTTTGTAACTATGGGAGTCACCTCCACTGCGCGGGATGTAAGCTGCACAAGGGAGTTGTGTTCGGAGGCAACAAAACTACGAATGGAAGTGCACCATCGCAGTCGGTTCGAGCAAGCAAAGGCTCAAATCCGTCCACTTCATGTTCTCGTCCTGACCCTTGGGTGCAGGATCGCTATCGCCGCCTGGAGCAGCAGGTGGCCGACTTGCAGGCGCGCCTGCGCGCCCGCGATGATGGTGCCATGGATACTGCTGACGATGATGGCAGCGGGGGTCCTCACGGCGTTGGTGAAGTTGCGCTGGAGGACCAGCTACGTGTCACGGAAGAAAAAGCTACAGCGGGTGCCAGAAAGTTTGGTCAAGTTGGTTCCCGAGCTTCAATCAGTACGACAAGGACTCCAACACAAAGAGCGGCTACAAGAGCAGCGTCGTACACAGAAGCCTATCGGAGCGCAAATCGCGGAGGTCAATCGCAAGATCTACCAGCTGTCTCAGCGGATTACGCGCTGACGAGCATGTTCAGCAGCGAAGGCCGGAGCTGGAGTCTTTGCAAAAGGAGATCAACGACGAGGAAGAGCAGCTCAAGCAACTTCGTGTACAGATGGTGGACATGGAGTCTCAAAGATTACAATTGGCAAAGCAAACGGTGGTCCCGACCCCAGCTGATGAGGGCCACGGAGGAGCGCAAGTGGTTACCCCTGGAGGCGCTGTATCGGTTGAGCAGCTGGGCAGCATCTGACGGCAGTACGGGGTACAAGACGTACTTCTGGAAAAGATTGCGCAGGCGGAGGAGCTTAAAAAGTTGGTGGCGGGGGGCGTTCACGGAGCACCAGTGGCAGGACCTGACGCGGAAGTTGGCTCCCGATTTGGCGAGGTTCAAGGGTGTGCAACGCCAGAACCACCACCCGAGCTACCTTCCCTGCAAGACGTCCCAGAGGGCGAGCTGCAGCAGCTGTTCGCAGATGCGCTGCCGATCGCGAAAGAGGAGTTGCAGCGCATCGATGCTACTAGGCTACGACAGGCAGCTAACGTATTGCGCAGTAGGGTCAACGCGTATTCGCCCTATGATTAGGCACTGGATGGTAGGCTGGATGTGTTGGCGTTGTCTTTTCACGCAAACCATGGCGAGTTCCATCGATCATCAGAACACACTTCTCATGGAGTCAGGTGGCGATTCCAACGAACAAGGGAGGTTTGCACCCACTTCGTCACTTACGGCCACGCAATGCGGCAATCAAGAAGATGGGTCATCAAGAAAACACGGGTTCGGATTGGCGTGCGCTGCCTTTTCGGTAAGTGATGGCGAGCCGCATGCTGCCCCCGTCCTTGGAAGGCTCCATCAGGAGACCGAGGATCTCGGAGGGGGAACGTCCACTGGGCCTTCCTTTTCGGGGCAAAGTACCACGGGTACGGTCACGACACGCAGTGGGAGCATGGCGGATATTGCCCCCATCCTTGGAAAGCTCTCGCAACAGGGAGATCCCCTGCGGCTTGAGACCGAGGATCTCGGAGGGGGAGCGACAACGGTGCCTTCCTTGTCGGGGCAGGGCGCCACGGGTTCGGCGATGACACGCATTGGGAAGTCTTCGGATATTGCCCCCATCCTTGGAAGGCGCTCGCTGCAACCTGCGAAGGCGCAGCAGAGAGCTGAGGATCTCGGAGGGGGATCGACTGAGGCATCACCCTTGTCTAGGCAGGGTACCACTACGACGTTCGCACCGAGGCGATGGGATACGCGCGATATCGGGCACGCAGTGGAGGTCAAAAGGAATCGTCACCACGGTCAATGTCACGGGTGCTGGCACGCTGGTTCGCTACCTCGATAAGCAGCCGCCTGGCAAGATCATTGCCGCACAGGAACATCACGCAGTGGGCGACCGACTGCAAGCTTTGAGGAAGGAAGCGCTGGACGTTGGGTGCCACGGCATCTGGACGGAGGCGCTGACCACGGAGGATGGCGGCACGTCGGGAGGAGTCTGCGTGCTCACCACCTCCGACGTCATGGTTACCGAGGCCCCCATTTGTCGGGCAGCTTAGCATCCCGCCCGCAAGGTTCGTGGCAGCACATATCCACTGGGGTGTTGCGAAGGGCCGAATTGTCATGAGTATTTATCCCCATGACGGCCAAGGCTTGAGCCCAGACAACCGACACCACATCAGTGAAGTTCTCAGGTACGCCGGCATGCTCAATGTGCTTGGGATGGACTGGATGGTACTGGGAGATTGGAATATGGAGCCAACGGTATGGGAAGAACAATGGATTCGACAGGACAAGGGCCAACTGCACATGCCAACGGCACCGACTTGCTGGAAGAATGCGATGGGTACGGTTTATGACTATGCACTGGTCACGGTTAACCTACAGTCACGCTCGCGGCAACCAGAAGTTGATCACGGCACCAATGTGAAGACCCATACGCCCGTGCACTTTCCCCTGTTAGCGAGAGATACGCCCACGTGGAAGCGGGTGTTGCATGAGCCCCTCGGGTTTGGTGCGGCCCCTCCGATCGGCTGCAGCTCTTATCTGCCAAAATTGGCATGGCAGGAAGCGCAAGCGGTTATTTCCAAGGCATTTGATAATGGTTCACTCCAGATTGCACGGGGCACGGTGCTGCAGTGCATCGAAAGCGAGCTGGCATCACGGTGGCAACTGCAGGGAGGCAACCGTGTCAAGCATATCGGACGTGGAGGACAAGTGGATTGGACATGGACACAGATCAAATGGGCACCGCCAAAGCGACGAACGTACGTCAGTTGGGACACGCACTGCTGGTCCATCGCTGCACGTTGGGCGGATCACCTTCGACGTGCGCAGCAGCATGTGGAACCGCATGCGCAACGATTGGTGGCGGCCAATGCGCTCTGTGAGGTTTCGGCACAGCAGTGTTCACATGTAGCGAAGATCTCGGCGGAGGCGCACGCACTTTTGAAGAAGATCGGCACGCGCCGACGCATTCTACGGACGGTCACTGCGCGGGCGCGATCCTTTTTCCACATGGGCAGCGAGGTCTTCTGCCGCCAGGAGCTCCTCAGTACAATTGACTACATGCGACTGAAAGCGGCGCGGCAGGAAGCCCACGACACACGAAGCAAACAGAAAGCCTGGGTGCGTGACGCTTTTCAGAACGGAGCGGGCATCGCGCACCGATACACGAAGTTGTCAGGCCCCGGGGACAAGATACCAGCCATGACGCACGCGAGCCATGGAGTGGCCGACCGAGAGCTGCACAAGTGGTCCAAAGTATGGCGGCATCACGAAGCACCAAGGTTACAATTACCGCAAGAGGCAGGGCAGTGGGCAGCGCTGCCAGCGGTCACAGTGAAGCAGTTGCGCCAGGCAGCCTCTGTTTTGTACATGCGCTGCAAGGCTTTGGGGTATTGGCCGACTCAACGTATACTTAATGTCCTGGTACGTTTGGGCAAACCAGATGGGGGCAGCCGTCTAATATGCTTGGCCAACACGCTGGTCAGGCTTATGGTCACGTTCGCGAGTAGCAGTTGCCAGAGATTGGATGGATCGAGCGGATATTGCCGACATATGGGGCACTGGAGGATCAGGGCGCTCATCTACGGCATCCGCATTCGACCACAATTTGCATGCGGAAATGGCTCATCTGCTGTCGGAGCATTATGTTACCACGCTGCTCGACGCATGGCAGGCGTTCGAGTCGGTATTACCTGCAGCGTTGCTGCGACAGAGCGAGGAGGTTGGTTTCCCGACACGGCTTACGTGGATGGTACTACAATAGCATCTGCAACCGCGAGCCACCCAGTGCTGTGGGTCCCTGTCAACCTTCTTTGTTTCGAATCAGGGCATTCTAGCTGGATGCAGCCAGTCCACGTACATGCTCACGGCGCTCACGATGAAGGCCATTCGACAGCTGTCGTCGGCAACAGTGGTTCCCAGAGCCCTGGTAGACGATGTGTCAGCACAATGGGTTGGCAGCCACCTGGGACAGCTTCGGAGCTACTGGAAGGCGGTGCGCGGATTCATCACGGATGCGAAGGCGCTCGGGTTGGTGATACAGCCGAGCAAGTCAGGTTTCGTGGCGACCAGTACCGCTGCTATCAGAGCGCCCAGGTCGGCTGCGGATTACTGCAGTATACCGTCGCAGGCTCACATGCGTAACTTGGGGCACGAACTGCACGGACGGGTGATACGTAGAGGAGTCGCGGTGAAGAGGCATCTGGTATTACAGCAACGAATGAAGCGAGTTATGCGGTTCAGACGTAGTGCTGGGACACAGATCACTAAGCTCTGGCGCACAAGGTTATTACCCTCTACTGGCCATGGCGCGGCGGTCAGCGGCATTTCGGATACGGAGCTGAAGGCGCTACGGCAGTCAGCGGCATTACTCGCTGGATATCCTGGGCGCGGGGGCAGCAGCGCACTATACCTGGCCACCGAGGAGTGCCACAGCTCCTTTGGTTGCGTATCACAAAGTGGTTTGGGAGCAGCTCTTGAGCTTGGGACGAATGGAAAGGGCCTACCAAGTACTACAAGCTGGGACGGTTACATGGCGACAGATAAGGGGCCCGCTGGCAGTGGTGTGGTTGTCGCTGGCCCGAGTCGGATGAAAGCTACTACCGGCCACGATGGTGCAGGACGACCTCGGAAGGACATGGTCGATGCTACGGGTTGATCCCTGTTTGCTACGGGACATCGTGCGGGCAGGTTTACAACGATGGCAGATGCGACGGATACAGGAGCACCACGCCGACCAACCAGGAGTTGACCTATGGGCACGCGGCATCAGGGCGTGCATCGGTTCCAAGACAGCTGCATTGTAAGATCCCAAGATGACAGGGGCGTTGCGTGCATTATGGTCAGGATCATTGTGGACTACAGTCAAGTAACACATGTTCGACAAGGCGGAGAATGAATTGTGTCGCGGATGTGGCGATGAACCAGAGTATATAGGGCATGTCTGTTATAAGTGCCCTGCAACAAATCAGCTATTGCGCGAGAACGAGGAGGAGCACCCGATGCCCGAGGAATTTGTCAAATATAGGGATACGATCCTGCAGGCAGGCACTATGCGGACACCATTGGTGACGGACGACTGCTACGACCTCAGCGTGGGCATGCCACTGCTCCCAGGGCAGTATGAGACGCACGTGACGGATCCCAAGGTATTCTTCTGGGGAGACTGGAATAGCGACCCCACGACATGGCCGACGTGGGTCTTTACGGACGGCTCGGCGATACCGTCGAGCATACCTGAGCTGCGCAGGTGCGGATGGGCTGTCATACAGATGTCACCTTATGGGTACCCTGCGAGAGCGGTATGCGGCGGTCTTCCTGGGCCACAACAGACGATAGGGGCGGCAGAAAGATATTGTGTGCTCCAAGCGCAGCGGTACTACCCACGGGCGACGCAGCTGGTCACGGATTTGGCAGGACTTGTCGACGAAGGTATCCGCTGGTCAGAGAAGGACTCGCAGTCACAAGCACGGCATGCGAGTTGGTGGAGGCGCATACGTGAGCATTGGCGCAGGGCTGGCCGAACTCCCTTGCGATTCCACTGGTGCCCCTCACATCAAGATCATGAGAAGGTGGCTTGCGATCCTGGCTCACAGCTCAAACTGGATTGGGTGCTGGGCAATGCGCGGGCGGACTACTTCGCAAAGGAAGGCGCACGATCGGTTGGCTATGCGGAAGGCTATGTGAATATGCTCAAATCGGCGATGGTGCAGGCGAAGTTGGGCGCACGTTTTCTCAGCTACACTTTATGTCGCGTGTTTCAGCTCAAGATCTGGGGTGACCGCGAAGTCGACGAACCCATAGTAAGGAAGCAGAAGGAAGTCGTGCAGGTACTGGAGCACACTTTTTGGGTGTCGGCTGACGAAGGTGAGTTTCGTTGTCGTGCATGCGGGGCCCGTGCTAGAACGCAAACTCATCTGGATAATCTTCGATGGGGGGTGCGCAGGCATTGTCGGCCTACACGGTTGCAAGCAATACAAGCGGAGGTGTTCTTCGGCTCGGCACGAGGAGGGGCCTTCAGCCCGTGGCGACAGGAGGCGGTCAACGATGCGCTGGCGGCTGCCACCACGGTGCTGGGCGAGGATGGTGATCACTACCATCAAATGTGCGACGCCACCGGGACACCGTTGTTGCAGGCGCAGGCCCACTTCGCGGAGCTGGGTCATACGCTACAGTGGAGTGGTCAAGCTACTGTCTGTACAAGGTGCGCGCGGACAGCCAGCGACGTCACCAAGAAGGTGCTCAAGCTGCGTGACAAGTGTCCTGGGGCTGCCCAATGCCGCGAGACAAGGCGCAGCCAGGTTAAGCGTATCCTGAGATTCGCCAAGAGCGTGTCGATGGAGTTCCATGGCAGGTTGCACGAAGTTCTGTCGGCGCCACAGGGTGCTACGGTTGCAACAATGGGTCCGTGACTGATCTCATCTTCATATCAGGAAGGGACCCTATATTATAAGATGTGGTGGCCGTGATTGGCGGTCTACCAGGCAGTTGGTACATGGGCATGTTTGGCCTACACGGGCACCTCCTGCGCTCTCTCGTGGGCCTGGAGCGCCAGCAGTTCATGAGGGAAAGCGAGTACAACCACTTCGTGCTCGGGTACTGAGAAGGCCGCGGCGTGCGGCCAAGGAAGACCGGCGTCCGCCCGTGTTAGCGGGCGGCCGCCCAATGGCGAAAGGACGAAAGGAGGAGGAGGAGGAGGAGGAGGAGGAGTAAGAGTAGGAGGAGGAGGAGGAGGAGGAGTAAAAGGAGGAGTAAGAGGAGGAGAAGGAGGAGGAGTAAGAGGAGGAGTAAGAGGAGGAGGAGGAGGAGGAGGAGGACGAGTAAGAGGAGAAGGAGGAGGAGTAAGAGGAGAAGGAGTAAGAGGAGGAGGAGGAGGAGGAATAAGAAGAAGAGGTGGCGGGCGCCCACCAGGCGGATACCCAGAATCGCCGGGCAGCGCGCGGGGCGGCAACGAAGCGGCGACGGGCGGCCACGAGGGTGCGACGGTCGCGTTTCGCGCCTCGCGGCGGTCTGGGCGATTTGAGACTCCTCCTCCTCCTCCTCCTCCTCCTCCTCCTCCTCCTCCTCCCCTCCTCTCCTCCCTCCTCCTTCTCCTCCTCTCCTCGTCCCTCCCCTCCCCTGCTTCCGCTCCTCCTCCTCCTCCCTCCTCCTCCTCCTACTCTGCTCCCTCCTCCTCTCCCCCCTCCTCCTCCTGCTCCTCCTTCTCCTGCTCCTGCTCCTGCTCCTGCTCCGGCTCCTGCTCCTCCTCCTCCTCCTTCCTCAGCCTCCCCTCCTCCTCAGCCTCCTCCTCCACCTCCTCCTCCTCCTCCTCCTCCTCCTCCTCCTCCTCCTCCTCCTCCTCCTCCTCCTCCTCCTCCTCCTCCCTTCGGTGACTTCACCCTCGCCTTTTCAAACATCCCTCCAGCCGCATACACACGTCTTGGGGCGAGGCGAGAGGGACGTCACAGAAGGGGATGGCTTACGAAGGGGTCGGTAAGGCGGCCCCCCTGACGCCACCGCCTCGTCCCCGCCTCGTGCACTGGCTCGCGCTTCAAATATGTACACACACACATCTTCAGCGACTTAGACTGCAGCGCATAAACTACACACCGCAAGCTCGTTCTGCTGAAAACCAAAAAACATACCCCCTTATGCCGAGGCCAGACTTCGGAACCCCCAGGTGGTGTGGGGCATACATTGCACATGTAATCTGCATCATCGCTCATCCCGCATGTCTCATTGCACTATTCCAGCCAGCCGGGCATCGATCCCCCCCCCCCCCCCCCCGTCATCACCGTCGAAGCATGTCGTGCGGCACACCCACGTTGATCTGACAAGTGCCCAATGATTCGAAGCCCGGCAAGACAAGCAGTGCGCACTGCGGGTCACATGCGCGCAACCCCCCCTCGCGCAAAAGCCGACATCCTTCCAACACCATTGGCGTTCTGAGCATGCGGCTGAAAGAAACAAGTTTGCACCACCTGGGCGGCACGACAACTGACGATACGACCCCCCCCCGCTCCCGACCTTAACATTGAGAGCGAACGCTGAAACGGGATGCATCTTTCTTTTTTCGAAGGGCCCCGGAAGATGTCACAACTATCAATATTAAAGTCGGGGGCGCGGGGGGCAGCAGTGCCATCTGATTCGCAGCTCAACACGACATGATACAAACATGTTTCTTTCAACAGTGTCATGTTGAAACGACATTCTAGAACCCACAGGCACGCACGCTGCGCGCAAGTTTGCTGTCTAGACGCGCCCAAGGAAAAACAACTCGCAGTGAAAGAAGGCCTCCACAAATCTGCTACTTTGGATTTCCGGGGGGGGCACAAACGCAGCGCGCGCACCTGTCGCGACCGCCCCTGCGAGGCCGCCAGCACCCCATCGTTGGGCGCGGCGCCCCCAGGGGGCGGGCCGCGCCCGTGGGTCTGCGCACTCGCCGCCCAGGGCGCGGCGCCCACCCCCTGCCAGGGTCACCTGGGTGCCGATGACCCCCAGGGGCGGTTGAGGGTGGGGGAAAACGCCGCACCCCCAGCTGCCAGCGCCGATGGCTGGCAGCAAGGAAAGGACTGCGCGGCGCGCGCGCCGCGCGCGCGCAGAGCCGCCGCGACGCGGGATCCCAGCGGCGGCCAAGCGAACAAACAGCCAGCGCTGGCAGCGCCGCGCGGCGCGGCGCGCGGCCCCCCCTCGCAGGCGGCTCCTGCGCGGCGTCGCGCTCGTCGGCGGACATGGCCGCCGACGCCCCGCGCCCCCGTTCGCTATCGCGCGCGCGCGTTTGTGCCTGCCAAGCAAACGAGTTTGTGGGCCTACCACAAACGCAGCGCGCGCACCTGTCGCGACCGCCCCTGCGAGGCCGCCAGCACCCCATCGTTGGGCGCGGCGCCCCCAGGGGGCGGGCCGCGCCCGTGGGTCTGCGCACTCGCCGCCCAGGGCGCGGCGCCCACCCCCTGGCAGTGCCACCTGGGTGCCGATGACCCCAATGCCGACGGTAGCCAGGGAGCCACCAGGGGAGGGGGCGCGACACCCAATGCCGAGCCAGCCACCGCTGGCGCGCGCGCTCCCCTGACGCGAGAGCTATCCCGGCACGCGCGCAGGTGCTTGGCCTGCCTGCAGCGCCTCCAGCATGGCGTCGCCCTCGAGCTCTTCTCGATCCATATAGTCGAGGAACGCGCCCGAGCGCCAGCAGCCCGCACGGAGAATCTCTGCGAGCCTGCCACCGCTTCTGCGTAAAGTCTCCGCGTGGCCACGCCGGAAGGACTTCGTGCAAAAGTGCGCAGAGTCGCGCTCGCCGGCCTCGTGGGCGAGCCGCCGCACCAAGCTGAGAATGCACCCGCACGACAGGTGCGCAAACGGCGCGGTGCCGGCCGGCGCGCGGTCGAAGAAGGCCCCGAGGGCGTGCACGGGGCAAGTGGTCGTGCACGCCGCGCACCAACAGCTGCGCACGATGCGCGAGGGATGGTCGACGTGTTTGCGTCTACTCAAATGCAGGGTGACACGGCCGCCGGCGAAGAATACAACCGCGCGTGCCTTGCGCGCGCGACAACCCTCGTCAGAGAAGGAGAAGGACGCGGCCATGCGCGGGTCACCCTTCTCGATTCGGAGGCCCTCCGACGGCGCTCTAAGAGCGAACGCGAAAGCCGCGACGAAAAGGCCCCGAGTGGCCTCGTCGGGCACGCGCGCAAGCATGTCGACTAAGAGCCGATGGCCGATCGCGGGCTTCGGCGCCGGCTCTTCGCGCAGGCGCTTGCGCACGGCGGCGCGCGCGCCGCTCGCTTCCGCGCTGTCGAAAGCACTGCAATCAAGGCGCAAAAGCCTGCAGGCCTTGAGGACCTGCGCCTTGCAATTGCCAAACGTCTTGCGATTGCGAAAATGCGTGGCCCACAGCGCGAGCTCAGAAGGGGAGGGCGGCAGCGCTTCGTTGTCGCGGTTGCCCAGAACCTTGGCGGCGAACGCGAAATAATTCCGCAAGGCGCTGCGCCGCGCGCCGAAGGATGCCGGCGCCCCGCCCACGAGGGCCGTCGCGCGCGCGGCCTCCAGCCGCGCGGCCCGCTGCGCATCCGAAAAGTGGCCGTGCGCCTCGGCCGCTGCCCGCGCGCTCGCCGCCGGCCCAGCCCGCGAGCGGCTGGCGCACTCGCGCTCAAAGTACACGGCGGCAGGATAGGCGCGGGCTAGCGCCGCGCGCTGCGACGGCCTTGCACGCGGTGCCGACTCAGAGGAGGAGTCCGAGCTCGACGACGAAACAGACTCGGCGTCGAGGCACGCAGCGGGCTGGCGCGGTCGCGCGGCGGCAGAATGCCCGACCGCGCTGGCCGCCGCGCCCCTCGGCGGCGGGCCGGGCGGAGGGCGCGCCATGGCCATCCGCTCCAGGATCCGCGCCGCCTCCCCTGATAACGCCTCCGTGCGAACGCGGCGCGGCCGCGCGGTCGCTATGGAAACGCGCGCGAAGAGGGCGCCTCGAAGCCGTTCCACGTCCGAACGGGCGGCGACGCCCCGACGCAGGATACGCGGAAAACGTCGTTCTGCCGCATGCACGCCGCGACCTCCTCCGCGGCCGCGGCCGCGCTCCCGCGGCACCATTGCGCGACTTCGTCAAGCAAGCAGGGAGCGGCGGACATTGGCCTCGCGACCGCTTAATTAAGCGCACGGGGTGCACTAACCGCCGAGCTGCAGCGGGCGCGCGCATCCCGCTGCACGCCCGCTCCGGGTCAGAGCGTGCGGAAATCCGCCGAGCCGGTGGTCGCGCGCGCGGCAATGCCCGCGCCGCGCGCGCACGCTGCCCGCTACGCGAGCTACCCTGGCAGCTGGAGCCGCTGGAACTGCGGCCACAGCGTCGGCCAGCGCCACGTGGCACCCAAATCGTCGAGTAAACGATACTCCTCGCGGCTGGGCAGATCGGCAATGTTATCGTCTTCGCGCACGCGCAGAGCGCGCGTGTCGACGGCGGTGCGCGGCGGCGCGAGCAGGCGCCCGTAGCGACTCGGTCCACCAGCACCGACAAGTGCATTGCGCACGCGGTCGCCCAGAACGCGTGAACGATCGCGCAATGATCTGGCGCGGCCGCCGAGCCACGTCGGAAGGCGCACTCAGCGACCGTGTTGTCACTGTAGATGCGGACGTCGCGGCCGCGGATCCTGTTGCCCCACGTGCACATTGCCAGCCCAACTGCGAGCATTTCCAGCCCGACAATCTGGGCGTCCCGCCGTTCGCGGAATTGCCTTGCGCGCGCTGGCAGGCGATGCGCCAGGGCGGGCACGGGCACGTGAGGCGATGCTGCCCCGCCGTAATAGAGGCCCCGGCGGTTCCCACGCCGTATACTCGACACGCCCGTCGATGCAAACCACGGCCGCAAGATTCGGCGGCGTGCCGCGCGCGTCCGCGAGAATGACGACAGGCGGTCGCTCGTCGCCGCCGGCCCAAGCCCTGGTTTCCACTATATCATGGGCCAGGACTTCCGCCCACCAGCGCAGGCAGCACATCGCGTCCGCGGACAGCTTTGCCGAGCGGCCGCGCGCGCGCGAACAGCGGCCGCAGCATCGCGCGCCCCAACCAGCGGAACCGATGCGATGCACCCCAGGAGAGCGCGCCCGCCAGCTTGGACGCCGCCCCGGCGGTCAGCTCCTC